GGAAGGAGGAGGAGAAGAGGGGGGGGCGGGGGGGGGGGGCGGTGAGAGAGGGAAGGGGCAGCTGGAGGAAGCGAAAACGGGAGCGAGGTGGGGGAGGAGAGCGTGGGAGAATCGGCGCTCCGGAGCGTGGGCGGGAGAGCCCGAGGGCGGGGCCTGAGCGAAGCTCCTCGGCCGCCTGAGGCGCGCCGCTGCCAAGTGTTTCCCACACAGCCCAGCTCCTTGCGAGACAACGGGCCCTGTGATCCTTCCGAGGAGCCCCCCTTCCAATGTGGTGAACCAGGCCTGGTGAAAAATGGAAACGGGAAACGAGGCACCTCTGCCTCCGCAGGAAACAAGGGCTACTAGCCCTTCCCCTAGAGTCCAGAGGCCGAAAGAAAGGCGCCCACTTCTCGAACACCCACTAGCTGTTCTTACCAAGGGACGGGCCCAAAGCGCTGGGCGCGCGCACACCAGTCCAGACAGGGTCGCCCAAAGGCTTCGTTGCAAGCGCTTCCACCCACGTGCGTCCGAAAAACGTGCCTTCCCCCAAGACACCCCGCCGCATATTCGTTTCTAGATGATGTTGTTATTTCTGTCCTTTTTTAAACAGGAACACAAGACAGAGTGAATCGTGCTTCCTTCTCTGATGTTTCTCTAAAACAACGACCTTGCGAGTAGTTTGGTCTGAAGGACAGTGACCGGCCACAAGTCACCCAGGAAGCTTCCGAGGCTGCGGGTCTTTCCGCTCCTAGCCCACCACCTAAACCAGGACACCACACTGAGATCCCACATCACTCACCACACTAGCAGGCTCGGAGTACCTTCACACCGACAGATAAGCCCCTATCCCCTAAGTGGGAGGGGGAAAGCAAATTACATTTAAGTCTGCCTTGTACAAGTCAGAAAGGGAGGTATAATCTGTTAAATTACTGCTCACCTGGTAATCATTGCTCAGTTAAACAACGTGATGCGCCCACGCACACACAGGCACACCAAAAGTAATAGGAGCCTGATTTGGCTCCCCAGATCTGGGCAAAAGGCAT